AGAAAAGCTTGATGATTTATTGACTTGTAAAAATAATTATTTCGTATGATCAGCTCAGCTATTGAGGGAAAGAGTTGAGGCTTAAATATTGGGATCTCATAATTTCTGAGTGTGCCTCACAAGTTTGCGCAATAGCTAATTGGTATTTATTTGCTATTTTTATTACTTAAAATTATGTAGAGTTTTCGAAACAAAGTGATTTTTTTTTCCAAAAAAAAAAANTCAGAAAATTTGACGCACATATTTTAACATGAAACCAGTTTTAAGAGATTTGTTCCTTTCAAAAAATTTAAAAAGTTCACTGAGTGACCACTTTATTGCTTATTTAATATGGACGGTAGAAATATCATATTGTGGTAAAAAAAAATCTCATTACAAGACATTCTTTCATTACTTTTGGACAAATGTGGGCATTTTCAGAAATTTGTTGTACATATTTTTACATAAACCAGTTTTAAGAGATTCGGTCTTTTCAAAAATTTTAAAGCAGTTCACAACGTGTCTGCTCTATTGCTTATTTAATATAGACTGCGGAAATATTATGTTTTGGTGGAAAAACTCTAACTTAACGACATTTTTTGAGCACTTTTGGGCAAATGTGAGCATTTTCGGAAAACTTGACACATATATTTTAACATGAAACCAGTTTTAAAGATTCGCTCTTTCAAAAAATTTAAGTAAATTCACAAAGTGACAGTTCTATTAATTCCTTAAAACTGACAATGGAAATATCACTTTTTGGTAAAAAAAAAAAATTAATTTAAAGACATTCATTGAGCACTTTTAGACAAATGTGGGCATTTTCAGAAAATTAGTCGCAGATATTTTAACATGAAACCAGTTTTAAAAGATTCTCTCATTTCAAAAAATTTATAAAAATTCATAAATTGTCCAAAAAATCATATTAATTTCAAAATTCGTAATTTTAGTTAAATGACAGTGTCAACATACTAATTGCAATACATAACATACTAATAATGTCAACATACTAATTGGATGTTGTTACTAATTGCAAACCACGTAAAAAAATTGTAGAGACCTTACATAATATTGTTTTAAAGTTTTGGGAGTTCAAATAACAAGTAGTAAGAAGACCAAGTGAAGGAACAGCTCTTACCAGTGAATGAACACCCGGTAAAGGAACACTTAATTTTGGTTATTTTTTAATGCTCTTTATGAATTTATAAGCCATACAAATATTTAAAAATATATTTTTGAAATTATAACATATAAGTACTTGGAAAATGGTAACTTTTTTTGTAATCATGAATTGAAAATTAAGGTGTCAACATATTAACACATACTGTTCATTAACTGGGAAATCTATGCCCAGTAAAGGAATATGCCTGTTCCCTCACTGATTAGAAGTTGCTTTTCGAATTTTTAACATACTTTTCATGCGGAACTTCACTAAAGGTACAAGAAAATTAAAGTTTATCTTTTATTTTCATTAACTTAGAAAAAGCCCAGTAAAGGAACACTTGTTCCTTCACTGGTTTTTCTTCGTTTGGTGATCCAGTGAATAAACACCCCCTTATCTCAGTACTTTATTACGTTATGATAGTAAAAAAAATAAGACGTAACTTCAATAATTATATTTTGAATTCTCTTTTTCACAGTGAGAAAAATAAAACTATTACAGGCAATTATAAATAAACATATAAATACAAACACTCACCTTATAATTTTTTTAAAGAAACAAGGTGTTGCAGAGATAATAACAAATTCAAAATTTTTTCCAGAGAAGTCTATTTGACCAGGTAATTAAAAACATTGCTAGGGGACTTCTCGTTGCTTGGCAGTAAACTATTGTTACCAATCAATCTAAAGAAAAACTTTCAAATTCTTATTTTTAATCAATATATATGAAATGTTCCTTCACTGGTTGGTTTACCCCAAATTATATTTTAGGAGCGTATGGATGTTTTTTTTTTTTAACAACAGCCAATAGGAATGAAAATATATTGAATTTACTTTGGAGCTTACTGTAAAGGGGTTAAAATATCTTGAATATGCTATATAATACCTTTTTTTATAGAAATGATTAAATTAATATCTAATAGCATTTTTTTAATACAAAGTGAGCTTTTATATTCTTCAATAACTTGTAAAATGTAGCAAATAGAATAGAAGATAAGATACCAAAGTGATTTGTAAGAGAGTTTTAAACATAAATAAATTGTAATAAACAAAATGTAATCCTTTAAAGATTTATTTCTCGATTGCATTAGTACATATCATATTTTTAGAATTGTATTTACATTTGAATATAATGACAAAAAAAGGGATTGAAATAAACTGCTCCGAAAAATGGACCAATGTGTATAATTTTTGATCTAATCGGATCTACTTCTTAAAGGTTCGATTGATGAACTCAAATATGCTTAAAAATAAGTGGTTACGATATCTTAAGTGGCGAAATAAGACACAGAAGCGTACTTGCTCTGAATAAACACACCATTTTTTTCAACGGATTCAGATTTTTGACCCCTAAAATATAGAGGGTAGCCGCAATCTGGGAAATATGGTCCCTATAGTTTGGGCAGGAAATATATAAATAATATTTCGATAAATAAATATAAAATTTGTTTATCGAAAGATGCCATGCAAAAAATAACTTTCAGTAAATAATTATTAATTTTATTATTTTATTTCAGAATGGTTGAAAAACAGTTTTGAATTGCAGTATACAATTTTTAGCATCATTTTAAAGAATATAATTTAATTTAGCAAAATAAAAATTTGGGCAAAATCGGTCGAATAGTTCCTGAGAAATCCGATTTTTAATATCTGACTGTTTTGAAATTCAATTTCTCAGGAACTCTTCGAACGATTTTTGGCGAATTTTTTATTTTGCTGTATAAAATTACATTCTTTTAAATGATTCAAAATATTTTATACCTCACAATTCAAAACAATTTTTTACCATTCTTAAATAAATAATAAAAAATAAATAATAAATATTTAGTTAAAGTTATTCTTTGCATGGGATTGTATTTGGATAAACGAATTTTATAATTGTGTGTAAAAATGCTTCAATTCGCTTAAACATTTCTTCAGATATAGCGAAATGAGGCAAAAGTGAAATTAACATTAAGGGGTTCAAACTTTGGAGAGCTCTCTTGACCAAACTACTGGGACCACTTTCAAGGTCAAAAATCCGAATCCGACAAAAAAAAAAAAAAAAGTTGGGAGGGTCAGAAATCCGAATCTGTCAAAAAAAAATATGTTTCTTCAGAGAAAATACGTTTTATGTTTGATTTCGTAACTTAAAAAATCGTCTGCGTTTATTTATAAGCATATTTGAGGTCACCCCTTCAGCCATTAAGAATGAATGCTGAAAAGTAAAAATCCGACGATTAGATCAAAAGTTATTCAGGGTGGTTCGTTATTTTGCACACTATACATTAAAAATTTGAGTATGTTATTCAATAACTTCCCTTTTAAATAAATTTTAAGCACATATCCAATAGAAAGAATAACAAAAATTAAATTTCGAAATTCATAAATATTTTTTACAGAAAAAGCGTAATTTTATTTTTAAAAAAAAGTAGAATTAAGATAATGTTTCACAAACAGATTAGATAGTAAGCAAATTGAATGGATTACTAAGCATTATAATTTTATCGGGAATAAAATATCACCAGAAATATCCTTCTTTAATTGTAACTTAAAATGATAGTCCTGTCTAAACAGTTCAACCATCAGAGGGATGAGAATTAATTCAGGAATTTACTTCTGGGAACACCTTTTAATCTTTGAATGTAGGCTAACGCAGGAACTGAAATATATTTGCTATTTTGATTATGTCGGAACAGGTAAGTAAAGGACATCTTTGAAATAGTATGTATTTATTCCATGAAATGTTTTCTCATTTAATCCACACCTTAGTTGCAATTAAATAATTTTACTGTATCAATATCTTCATCTGAAGTATTTTGGAAGTATTTGCTTAAGGACTTTTACAGATATATGTACTCAAAAGATATAAGAGAGACCATTATATGTATTTATTGCTAGAGTTACATACATATGATTTCTGTTCAAATAAATATTTTGAACGTCTATCTACTCTAGCAAGACTTGTTAAACTAATTACATATGAAAGTATTTTTTTAATTTTTTTTTGTTTCATTCTAAGTTAGCATAAATAAATTGTAACAAACAACCCAAAAAATCAATGTATCAAAACAGTCATCACTCTAATTATATCAGGGATAGCAGGTAATGAGAGAAAAGCTTGATGATTTATTGACTTGTAAAAATAATTATTTCGTATGATCAGCTCAGCTATTGAGGGAAAGAGTTGAGGCTTAAATATTGGGATCTCATAATTTCTGAGTGTGCCTCACAAGTTTGCGCAATAGCTAATTGGTATTTATTTGCTATTTTTATTACTTAAAATTATGTAGAGTTTTCGAAACAAAGTGATTTTTTTTTCCAAAAAAAAAAAAGAAATTATTATTTAACTTATTTTATAAGTTCTATCGAATATTTTTAAAATGTGTATTTTTTTATGTGATTACAAAATTGTTTTTGCCATTGGCCTTAAATATTTTAAAACAGGGAATTATTAGGAACATTTACACGGAATGTATCTTTTATGATTTTTTTTCTATTAATTAATTTTTTGATTTATAATTACAACACATATATTTCTTTTTAATATTGAAAAATAATATTCAAAGAAAAATGATAACTTGAACTATTTTATTATTTTATTTGAAACAACGTCAGAATTGTTACAGGGAATTAAATTCGAAGAGTTTATTAAGTATAATGAAATTGTAAGAAACGTAATTTAACATAGTTTTACTTTCAAACACAGGCAAAAACTTGAGGTGTCTATATCCTCATCACTTCAGTTGATTTTTATTTATAGGTTTCAACTGTGCCTATTGTTAATTTATTATCATAGCAAATGTTAAATATATTGAAAAATAAGCATTTAATTATGGATATTCAACTCATTCATGCATATTGTCTTTCGCATTTTTCAGTGTTTGGTGAGATGCAGCACTCAAAGGCACCTGTTTTCACCTTCGAGCCAACGGGCTTGAATGTATTTTCGAATTCATCTGGTGTCACCATACCATGTAACGCAGATGGCCGTCCTCCTCCAACGATTCGTTGGTTGAAGCATGATGGTCAACCTGCCCTAGACATATCCGGATTACGACACATTCGACATGACGGAGCTCTCGTTTTTCCACCTTTTCCAGCAGAAGATTATAGAGCTGATGTACATGCCACTACCTATAGATGTGAAGTGACAAATCCAGTTGGCACAGTTGGAAGTAGAGACGTCCATGTTAGAGCTGGTAAGCAAGAATTTTTTTTAAATAATTTAATTTTTGAATTGTAATAAAAATATAGCCTGATGCTGTCGATTCAGGAATTCTCAGTTGAGGAAGCAAATGAAAATTGTTCCATTTTAGGCTGCATTTACTCCATAGACTGATGGTATCTAAAGTGAAGTATGATTGCCCGGTATCCCTTAGCCCGACGTAAAACTGAGGTTCCACTATATATATATATAAATATATATATATGCTTTTGGCATATTATTTCCTTTGAGTCTATCAAAAATCGGCTACCATTATTT